CATCAAGAAAATAAAGATTCTCATCGATTGGGCCAATTGGCAGCATCATGATAGATAAAGAGATTGAGATTGTTAACAGCTTTAGTTTGCTTGGCTCCACAATCAACACTCTTGATATCAGCAGCCAGCAAATCAAAAGACTAATTGCAATGGGAAAGTCTGCTGTCAGGGACCTCTCCAGAGTATTGAAGAACAATGTCAGTCTGGAGACTAAGGTGTGCCTGACCCAGGCCATGGTCTTCGCAATCACATGCTATGCATCAGAAAACTGGACAATGAATGACTAGAGATGATAGAAGGGGAATTGATGCCTTTGAGCTGTGGTGTTGGAGAAGAGTATTGAATATACCATGAACTGCTGGGAGAACAAACAGGCTTATCCTAGAGAGGGTGAAACCAGGTTGCTCCTTGGAGGTGAGGATTCTGAAGCTTCATCTGACATACTTTGGGCATGTTGGAGAGGGACATCATACTTGGGAGGGTGGTGAGACAGCTCAAGAGAGGAAGATGCTTGATGAGATAGATTGACTCAAGGACTAAGGTAATGGGAGTAGGTGTGTCAGAGTCTATAGGTTGGCTCAGGATAGAGTCGGGTTCAGAATTGTTGTACCTAGGGTTGCTGAGTTGCGACTTCATAGCACCTAACAACAATAAACCCATGATTGTATTGTCTGTAAATTCTGTGTGGTTATAGCAATGTAGCATCAAACCTTCTAGAGTGGCAGGAGCCATAGGAGGAATAGTTAGGGCTGGAATTCATAGAAACTGCGGGAGAGAGAGAGAGGGAGCATGCCTGACCTTACAGTAATCAGGTCTGTGCTGTTGATATTCCTCATGGAGATTCTTCCCCTTTGTGAAGTTAAAATGTGGCGTACAGATTTGTCCCACCCTCATCCCTGCCCATATTTTAACATCCCTATTTTAACAAACCAAATTCTTCATTATTATGGTCTCTGATGCCTTTGAGCTGTGGCGCTGGAGAAGAGTACTGAGAATACCATGGACTGCTAGGAAAACAAATAGATTTATCCTGGAGAGGGTTAAACTGGGTGGCTCCTTGGAGGCAAGGATTCTGAGGCTCCGTCTAACTTACTTCGGACATGTAGTGAGGAGAGACCGGTCCTTG